ACTTCAGCTAAAAATAAAATTCTGTTTATTAGGGGTATAACAGATCATAATTGATCCTTGATTCGTACAGATTGATTTAGATCACACGTGACCCGTGGATTAATAATTTTTTTTTTTACTTACTAGGTTAATTTGAAATTTGTAACAAATGTAGAGTGATCTCCTCTTACGACATTCAAATCACATCTATGTAAGTATTTAGGCTTTTCTGTAAAATATAATGATGATGGAAAAAGTTATGGTGGGTTATTCGGGATGTGGTGGATTTCTTATTTTATTAAAGGTTTTTTCTGTTACTACTTGTTTGGACTGCAATAATGCATTCAGTGTCAGCTGCATTATTAATCATTAAAAGATTAATATGTCAGCAAAATTGTTGCAAACAATGTATATGTGTTGAATTTAAGCAAAATATTAATCAATAATGTATTAAATTTAAAAAGCTGACACAAAGCATGGCTCGAAACGTTGCACGCTTTGTGTCAGCTTTTTTAATTTAATAAATTTGTATTTATGTAGCTTTAGTGTTGCCGCCTTTGATGAATATTTAATTTGCACCTTTTGCTTTTTTTGGCTGAGCACCCAGTTAAGAGGGATATGCGTGCTTTTGTACGGTTTTTCATTGAATTTAAGCAAAGAAATTAAATTTAGTAGCATTCAACCTAACTGCTTGATGGAAAAAAAAATTGTAAATCCAAGGAATCATCTTTGAATAATTTTTTTTTTTTTTTTTGGAGTATGAGGGAGTTCCCTGGATTTTATCTAAAATAATAACTTATTTTATGTTTCAAAGATGAATGAAGGTTTTAAGAGATTAAAACGACATGTGGGCGAGTAAGTAATAGCATAATTAAAGATTGTGGGTAACCTAATCCTTTAATTGCCCAATTAAGCTTACATAGCTCATCTAAAATGTCTTAAAACAGATTTCTAGGTCAAAAAAATGTGAATTTGAATTATATTAGATACCTAAAAACAGGTGATCTGTTTAATGTGGATGAAAGCCACGTTCTGTCTTTATTCCTGTCCAATAACCTGATATTTACTGTCATTTCAATTACATGCAACTTATACAAATGCTGTTATCTTAATGCCCCAGGGAACTTAAAACAAGTGCTGCATCCGACAAGCTGACAGGCAGCACAACAGCCTTCTAATCCAATTGAGGCCCAGCTAGTGACACTGGGGTAAACACACATTAGCTTAGTTTGACACCCACAAAGTGAATTAGGCTTTATTTGGAAGCAGAAAAGGCCACGCTTCACAAGAAAAACTAGGTTTTTAGAGGCATTTCTGTCCATGCTATACTCTGTTAGATATTTGTTCTGCAGCTAAATATGTGATGTAGCTAAACATCTGAACAACTAGCACAAAACAATGGTTATAACAGTGTGGTTGGAAAAGTTACAATAGATAATATCTGAAGACTCTGACCCAAAGATGACATGTGAAGCACATCAGTGAGAAACAAATAGGGCAAAGAAACCACCTGCCATGAAGAGAGAATTTGGAGATTCAGCATCTCGTCCAAAAGCTTTGTCCACATGCCACATTCGTTTAATGTGAAGTTGCCGTTTCTTTTTGTCTACCCACATTCACTGAGGCACTATATAGGGAGCAAAGAATGGGCCCCTTTCAGTGGACCTCTCCTAAAATCTGATCAAAATTCACCCCAGGGCTGTCTCACCTCACATGTTATGGCTTATTTTTCGAAGATTGATATAAAAATCCTCAAAATATTATATATTTAGGACACCCCTGGGTTTGAAGCCTAAGATACAGCTTCTTCTGTATTAAAACTTGTACTCATTTACTTCATATTAAACAGACAAGGATTAGTAGAAAGGTGCAGTTTGTGGATTGTAGAATATTTCACCTTGTATGGTGAAACAAAATGAAAGTTTTTGAGACGCTCTGAGGATGTCAAACTTGATTCAAACATTTGAGTTTTTTAAGTCCTGTTTGATGTCAAACTAATCTCTATCCAAGCCAAATTCAGTTCAAATGTTGAAGGCGCGATAAACTATGACCGAATGTTATGATGAGGTAATTGTGCAGGCAAATATTTATGATGGTTTGGATTCTGTTCTTTCCTCTGCAAACTAGAGAAAGAGGAAAATGTAAATATTCACAGCCCTGCACAAATATTATAGTGTGCTCTTCCTGCTAAATTACTGTCATTACTTTCGTGCTGGCGGGCGCATTGTTTTCTAGATAATGTTAGACAAAGAACTGATAACTCTCAAACTTACATGATTTCACACAAAATAAGATTTCACATCACATTAAATTTACAAATTATGTTTTTTTGCACATTAAGAATACTAAAGTGTCTATTTCGATGTTTCAGATAACTTCTGTGAAATAATAACAAAAACACCAACAAAAAAAAAATCAATCAACATAACTGACTGAAAAACATATTATTTTGGCTTGAAAGGCACCTATTTTACCCATTATTCAAGATTTAGGAAAAGCCTTTTAATTGTGTCTCCAGAATGTGTCTGTAAAGTTTCAGCTTAAAACACCCATCAGAAATTTTTGTTATACCTTACAGAATATTGGATTTTCTGCTCTGAACACAATGTAGCTGTTTTTGTGGCCTGTGCCATTAATGCTAGCTCTCCCTGCCCACCGTTCCACATTCCTGTCAGAGTGTGCCTCAATCTCCGTCTCAGCTGCATCAGAAAAACAGCACAGTGACAAACATGAAGGAAGCAGACCTCACATAACGTTTGTGAGAAATACTACAGTAAGAACTTTCCCAATGATTATTTGATGTATTTGTTGTGGAGTTGAAACAGTGAGTCACACGCTATGTCGTTACAAAGTTCATGCATTGTCAATCAAATTGGTGGGTGGGGCAAGAAGGTCGCTGGTTCGAGTCACGGCTGGACCAGTAGGCATTTTAGTGTGGAGTTTGCATGTTCTGTTTGCGTGGGGTTTCCCTACAGTCTAAAGACATGAGGTACAGGTGAAGTAAATAAACTAAAATTGTGCATATAGTGTATGAGTGTGTGTAAATGAGAGTGTATGGGTGTTTCCCAGTAATGGGTTGCAGCTGTAAGTGGTGTGAAAAATATGCTGGAATAGTTGGCAGTTCAGGGGCGATGCAAGGGCGCAGATGCAGTGACGCAGTAAGTAGTCCTATCACCTCAAAGCAAGAAGGTCGCTTGGTTGCTGGTTTGAGCCACGGCTCAGTTGGCTTTTTCGTGGCTTTTGCGTGGATTTCCTCTGGGTGCTCCAGTTTCCCTACAGTCTAAGACATGTGGTAAAGGTGAATTGGGTATAGGCTAAATTAGGCCCGTTTTATGATAAAGGGACTAAGCTGACAAGAAAATAAATTAATAAATGAGTTGGTGGTTCATTCCACTGTGGCGACCTCTGAAATAGAAACTAAGCTGAAGGAAAATGAATTATGTTTCCTGTTTTAATTTTGCATTTTACTTTTTTTTTCAACTATTATTATACTTGTATTTGACAAATGCATTTTCTTTGGCCAAACATTAATAAGGTTGATATTTTTGTCTGTATTTCTTGAATGCAGTCTTTTTTATTTTATTTTCTTTCTTTTTTTTAAGAAAATAGGTCAAACGTGTGATTTTTAAGCTGGTGACAGCCAGGTGACAGCTTTCCCAGCAAACACAACGTTACTCTGTTCAAACATGGGGGTATATTTTAGAAACCAAATAAGAACAATCTGACATTTTTATGACTTCTGATACAAACCTTTCCAAAAAATAAAAAATAAATAAATAAATAAAAATCTAGGGATGCTCTTCATCAACCGAAAGGAATTATTTTTGTGCAAAGAATACTCCTGGCTAAGCAACAGAGAACATTCTAGGAATGTTCTAGAAATCAAAAATTATAACTATGGTTTGTATATTTATTCTTAAGCATGTGACCAAACACTGTCCAGGTAAATGTCCAAAGAGAGCAGGCAATGTCATCTCAACATAATAAAAGATTAACTGATTTGAGCAAAAACCTAGTTAAAAGCAGTTCTATCTCTCGTAAAAAAAAAAAAAAAAAAAAAAACGAAAAAAACAAGAGTCAGTCCCTGTAAAATGCTAAAAACCAGAACCAGCTCTTAAACAAAATGTTGCAAACTAAAAGAGTGAGTGCTGACATTTAAAACATCAAAAGCAAAGCGTCTGTGAGCGCTATATTGACTCTGCTAAACTAACTCTGGTTGTAGGGGGGTAAATAACGACAGAATTACATATTTTGTAAAATAACGAATCCCTTTCACTCAACTCTGACTTTTATGTTAATTAATTCTTCAACAGATGTCTACAAAATAATCAGATAATCAGTTGAGAAAACCTTACTTAGGGACCATGCATAATTGTTAAAATTCACAATTTTATTACAAGAATTGGCAAAGTGCAGTTTTTATTTAATTATTTTGCTTTTAGTTTTAAGTAACCTTATTTTTAGAATAAGACTGCGCAAAAGGTGGGACATATTTGCACTATTCAGCTGTGGTTTCTCTGTTAAGATCTTGTATGCTTTGGCTAAACTTTAGCTAAGTTAAACATGGTATAGCTCGTGAGTCATAGACGTTAAGACAAACTGACAATATTTGCCTTCGGTCTTTTGGACAATTGCTGTAAATCTGAGCAGGGGTAGTTTAGTCTTTTGTTCATCATCACCACTCATCTCCACACTATAGAGACGACTGAATGAATTTACATCAGCCACTGTGTGTGTGCTCGAGCAAGAGACCCCCAAAGACCCCTCCTCTGCACGTGCCTGGTGTTTTGGATGTAAAACGCGCTCGTGGGAGACCGCTACGTTTCTCAGCTCGCGCCACGACTCGAATATCTGTCGACAGGGGGCGCGAGCCAGTGACACTGCCCGAGTCCAGCGAACTGTGAATCTGTGGACTTGAAATACACTACGCAGTCAACGTGAGACCCTTCAGGATCCGCGCTGTGCCCCCCGCTCCCTCCTGACAAATCCCTGTCAACACTTTTCCGCGCGTTCAACCTGAAATCCCTGCGACGCTTTCCGCAGTTTTTGCTGAACAAAATGTTCGGGTGATCAGTTGAGAGACAACTGACCACGCTTTCACACGGGTTTTTTTTTAAAGGGGGAGAATATCGAGAGACCCACGACACGCACGACTGTTGATCCGGATGAAGCAACTGCTGAAAAAGTGAAAACTTGCCACAGATTTAACTCAAGGACAACTTCTCCGAGGCTGAGTGAGTTTATCTGTCTGTTTTATCAAGTGCTTGTATGGTTTGAATTCATAATTCTGTGTTTGGGTGTTTTAGTTGAGCTAACTTACACGTTGGTTTAAAGGGGTGTGCAGAGCTCTCGTGGAGCACAGGGTGGTCAACAGTTTGCGAAATCTTGCACTTTTTCCGTGCTTCATGTGCAATTTAGAAGTCTTTTGATAATTAGTGGTCTTGTTCGTGCTCATTTTGTGCTGTTCTGCCGTCTAAACTTTGTTCTAGGTGAGTGGAAATAAGGCAGAAATGTAGTTTACGCTCGTCCCCAGTGTGTTTATAAGGGGCCTCAGATGGCTTATCGGCTGCGAAAAGTGTTTGAAAATATTTATTACCCTCGTTAAACCAAGGCCAGGGTAGCAAGTTAAACAGAGCGGGAATTAATGGACACATTTGCTGTTTATTCCTGTTATGAATCTGTGTGGCTGCTGGATTTGTGCGCAGGGTTTCTGTCATGCAGGTGGTTTCTGCAGGTTTGACATCTCTGCAACACATTGGGGTGTAAATCTGTGTGCTTGTTTTTTATGTTTAATAAGATGTATTGAGCTATTTGATAACAAGAAAATTAAGGTAAACATTTAAATGCATGTGTAGTTTGACCTTTATTTTAGTAAACAATAGCCTACATGTAATATATTAGTATTTCACATTATTGGGGTGATTAGTCTCTTAAAACTCAAATTTCTAAAAGTGTAATAATAAAATGTATATTTTCCTAATGGAAATAGCTTCTTCATATCTTATTTTTTTAACCAACAACACATGGGCCTCTCCTAAAAATGAGCACTGAAAGTTTGATCGCGGGACCTATGGTTTCTGTGCAGTATTGCCTAAAGTGTCAGGAGTAGAAATTTTACTATTTTACTCACCTGCGGGGCAAGTTGTAACAGACAGAGGTATTCATACAGCACATGCTTAAAAAGTGGATTTCACACAATTATTTCAAATTCATTTTACTTTAAGTATTTAAGTATATTACCTTACTACTTAACTCAGTTTTTATTCTACGTTGCACAGCATGCTTATTTATCTATTGGATAAACACATTTGGATTTATTTGCATTATTATCCATCATTATACAATGCATTTATTTGCATTATTAGCAATAAAATATATATTAAAAATATTTTCTATTCTATTCAAAGTAAAAAAATTTTACAAACTCAAAATTTTAAAATTATTTTGTTTGTTTTATTGGTGTCAAACAGGGGCTTATTTGTAGCACCCTGTCACAACTAACCCTGCTTTGTCATGTTTTTTTTTTTTTTTTTTTTTTTACATCTTTCAAAATGGTTCCATCTTCTAGCCTAGAGGACAGTAATGACAACAATATACTATTTTACTAACATACTTTCACAGATTTTTTTTAAAATAAAAAAATATTGGGTGAAGTAAACAATACTTTTTATGCTGCAAAAATGGTTTCTTCTGTGTTTCTCATCCAAATTTTGCCAAACTTTTTCAATAATTGACAGGAAGACGTCTGGCAACACTGTGATGTAAACCTTGGAAGCATGCCATGGTTAACCCTGAGCAGCAGATACCTTAAACCTCTGTTATATTTTACTACATGTTACTTTGTGCCCTGTGCTCCCCTACATTTAATATATTAATATTTCACATTACTGAAGTTAATTCATCCATTAAAACTCAAATTTCTATAAGTGTAATAATCAAATTGATTTTTTCCTCATGGAAATATTTTTTTCATATCTTAAAATGACCTAATTTTCATTTTGTACTTATTAATTTGAGCAATTCCAGTATTACAGATGGGACATTTGCTGTAAAAACTCAACATAAACTCACATAGAAAGTATATGTTAACATTATATTGAAACATCTGTTTATATTTTCCAAAACAACTAACCTAGGTATGGGATCAGAAATATATCAATCTGTAAACATATTTTATATTTTAAATGAGGAAAATAAACATGTTTTATGGGTGTGACCAAAAAAGTCTGCGAGTTAACAGTATACAACATACTTTGTAAAAATTCTATGAATTAAACTGGTTAACCACCTCACCCAAAAATGATAATAAAGATAATGAAAACACAATTATTGATTTTATTTGACTTTACATTTTTTTGCATTTTTAGAGAAAAAGCTTGGTTATGTATGTGACATTTCTCCATTATGGATGTGACAGATGTGAAATTGCCTCTTGTGTGACTTTGTTAAATCAAATATAATTTAAAAACATGACAGAGACTTTTTTGAGCATTTTATAGTACTGTGAAATACAAGCCTAAATGCCTAAAAAAAAAAAAAAAAAAAAAAACATAGAGAGGGTTTCACTATTTTGTTAAACTTATTTTTTTCACAACAAGGTTGACGTTTATATTGAATTGCTCATATACATTTGTTTAATCATTTGCATTTTTAATGGGAAAAAAGAGTAGAACATAAAAAAGGTATTGTCTGTGTTAGATCAAGGCCATTTTTATAGCAAACACAACAGAGGAAACACAAAAAAATGTGTTTATTTGTGTGTGTTATATGCACAAAACAGCAAGTGCTAGCAATAGGAGTGTTGACAAAAAATGAATGACTTAAGGTTTGTATTTGGAACACTGCAGGAGAAAATGCTCAGCATTGACTATAAGTGATGAATTTGCACATGGTTTGTATTGAAGAATGAAGAATAATAAAACACATGCAAGCTCAAGTTTCTTGTTGACCTAAATTTTCAAATCAATCTGGTTGCCAAAGAACAATCTTGTTCTAAAAACTTTCAGTGGCGTTCAATACTCATGAAAAAAAAAAAAAAATCAAGAAATCTTTGAAATTATCCTAACAACCTCAATCCCATTTTCTGACAAAATGACATTAAAATGAATCCCTGAATCCAATATTCCCGGCATTGTGCATTTGCACGCAGCCATGACGGCACAAGTGCGATTCTAAAAAATCCTCAACAAAGAGATGTAAAGGAGCTGCAATAAAAATTCCTCGTTTTTTCACACATGCTTAACCATAAGGGTCACGAGTCTCTGCGTGAAATGAGTCTGTGAATGAAGCACACAGGCAGCTTGTTCTGAAGAGAGATGTCTTAAGATGATTTGTGCACACTGTAACTGTAAAATCTATTAAATGATTTGGCCAGAAATTACAACTATGCCTCCCTGTGCTGTTTGTAGTAGCAGCTCGTTTGTTTTAAGCTGTTTCTGGCATGTTTAACCCAATGCTTCAAAAGTGTTCAGGTTGTACAGGTTTCTAGCTCAAGGCCTGACATGTACAGAACAGCTCGAGTTAAACTGTACATTTTTGATCAGCTGTTTGCCACTCAAAAGCTTGCTCAATGCCGAGGAGCTGTTCAGACAGACACATAGAAAAATGTTGTTTTTTTTCCTGGAGAGTCGGTAGCAGATTCTCCTTTGCTAATTGCAAAAATGTTGCGCCGCTATTGACCCTGAAATTCGTTATTGATTTCAGCTCATTATTCATTATAAAACGGCGGCTATCTAACAGTACTGAATGACTTGTTTCTGCTTAATGTGTAATGAAATGTTTTCTGTGTGGATGATAATTGCAGGCTTGCAGGAACATTTTGTCTTGAGTGAATGCACATGGAATGAGATTGAGGTGCAGGTTACCATATGGTTTAGATGTTATTTTAATATTTAGACTGGAGATGCTCTGATCAGGATTTTGATAGATGAATAGATAATAGATAAAACGGACAGAAAAAAATGATTAAAAAAAATACTGACAATCCAAGTACTCGTAGTAATCACGTGTTGTAGCGCTATGGATGTATAACCCAGGTTGCACACTCATAAACAAACACTTGCGATCAGTTCATAAGATCGATTCATGATATCAATTTATGTGATCTGCCAGATCAGCGAGTACTGATTGAGTTGTCAAATGAGGTTATCGGCCGATCATAGCATCCCTAATTTGGACACTTATGAAATTACGCTTAAAATGTCTGCAAATCGTTACTTTAATATTAGGGTTGCACAATATATCATTTCAGCATCAAATCGCAATGTGATTATTTGCAATAGTCACATCGCGAGCAAATGCAAAGTTGACTCTGGATTATAATTGATCATTTTGCAAGCATTTTTTGAGGCCTGTGACTGTGTGAGGGTTTTAAGTGTTCAGACCTTAGAAGTAATGCCGTTGGTAACTTTGACAAATTATAACGATTGAATTATTTCTTAAATGATTAATTTAGATTTGATTATTCAGTTACTGTGGAGCGAAATAAAGTTAGACTTATCAGAAAACAATCAAACACTGTTTGTTAATTGGTGTCTTTTTGTATTGAATTTATCTATGCTTGTAGATTTGTAGATTGTTTCTTATATTTTAAGCTCATCTACTCACTAACAGAATCGTCCCAATCAATCTAAATTTAGAAATTATTTCCAAATATTTATTTAAGTCGTGTAGGGAAATTCTATACATTTCGCAATATTTACTGCAGAATTAAAAAAAATAATCATTTATTTTTTACCTGGTCTCAGCTCTTCTGACAGTTCTTCAGATTTGAGTGGTTCACATAAAGTCCCATATAATCTTAACCAAAGCACATGGTCTGAGCTGAAAGGAGCCATGATTATTTCACCTTTCAAGTCTTCTGTTTTTTGAGTCGTCCGTTCAGTTCGTGACAGCATGTAAGAGATTATTCAAACCTGAGGATTCGAGAAATGAATGGATCAAATTGGATTATATTTCAAGCTACGTGGAATCAATTTATTTTTTGTCTTAATGTATTTATCTTAATTCTGTTTCATAATTTAATACAATTTAAACTTCACACTTTTTATTTGATGAACAAATCAATCTTTTAAATCTGAATCTGCTGAAAATGTAACAAGGAATTTACAAACCTAGATTTATTTATTCTAAATAAACACAATAAAGACACAATAAAGCTTTGTTGATAATATATATTATTATCATTAATTTAAGAGTAACATTTTAGTCAGGTAGTATTTGATGGTCAAAATAA